TTGGGCCGCCTGTTGCCGACCCATGCCCTAGGCCACCCATCTCCATCATTCAGCACTATTGCAGTAGATGAGAACTCACTACCAGGCCCATTACTCGTGGTATGCCACTTTTTAGGTGAACCATTGTAATCTGGCTAGTGCTCCGTATGTGGTGGTTCCTTAACAGTGTTACGATGTATTCTTTCAGTTTCCCTCTCTGTGAACCCAGTACCCTCCCCCTGGATGGAGCTAGCTCTGTCAATAGTCGCTGTGAAGCTGGTAATCCCCCTCGTCAGGGCGAGCCCACCACAGGGACTCTTCCCTATGTAGTACTCTCCTCTAGTCCATAGATGTGGTCTCTGTAGTTTTCCTTTCTCAGTGAGAACGAAAGCGCTTCCTAACGTTAACAACCAGGTTTACTCGGCCATAAAATAAAAAAAATATGGTCACCAAAGGCCTACAGCTTGAGTGACCTCCCCCTAGAGGTGAGGAGGTCCCCTTGGTAGTCCCCATTGCCCTGGGCGAGTTGCGAGTTAGTGTAGCTGCACTTGCGGTAGGCACGCAGAGAACCCCTATTCTGTATTTTGATACAACTTCGAAAGTGATCGACAGAAATGGAACTTCTCAATGTAACCCTCGTTCCCTTAAAAAGGAAACAGATGTTGTCCCTCCTGACACAACTTGAGCTGCCACTGAGGGGTTGAGATGCCGTCTTGTCTCCTCAGAACAAACCTGAAATATACACCAGTAACCTAGATGTTTTCATTTAGTCGAAAACGGAGTTGTATATAAGTATTTAAATTGCACATAAATCTGCAAAATCTCTCTCTCTCTCTCTCTCTCTCTCTCTCTATATATATATATATATATATATATATATATATATATATATATTAAGGGTGTCACGATTTTGATTTTAAAATCGAAATCGACTGAAATTAAGTCACAATCTCGAACTTCGAATTAAAAAATGGAATCGTCGATGCTGCCATGTCAGGTCGGGTCGGCGTGCCAAGCGAAAAAAAAACGCGTGTTGAAGTGCTGTGAGTCAACCTCCTCTAACTCAGCTACAGCCAGTCAAAAGATAGCATGGCAACTGCAGATGCAGGAGACCCATCGACAGAACTTGAATCGTCTACTATTTCATTGAAGTCGCGGTGTGGAAGTATTTTGGATTTCCAGTGAGTTATGTTGACAGCGTTCGCGTTCAACGTTCCCGCTTCAAAAAAGCCACAGTTTGCAAGCTCTGCTATGTGCGACGTGTACCATATTCTTCCACTGGCAGCACGACTAACATGGCAGGGCATCTCCGCAGGCACCACAAAAACATAGATGTGAACTTGAATGTCATCTTCTGTGAAGAACACTGCAGTTACAAAAAAGAAACTAGATGGCAGGTTATTTTGCTTAAGTTTCCAATTGACTAAAGTTATTATATTATATTATAAGCACTTTGTTGTTAATAAATGTTTTAAATTTGACAATGTAGTGTGGTACATTGCAAACAAAGGTCAGATATTATATTGCATAAAAGTCTAGTCTAAAAATGTCATAGCAACCTGTGCTTTAAAAAAAAAAAATGTAAAAATCGAGAATCGAATCGAACCGTGACCTTAGAATCGAAAATCGAAGATTTGGAGAATCATGACACCCCTAATATATATATATATATACAGTCGTGCCCAAAATTATTCATACCCCTGGTAAATATGATAAAAAATGGCTATAAAAAATAAATCTGCATCGTTTAGCCTTTTGATCTTTCATTAAAAAAAATTGGCAAAATCCTAACCTTTCATTGAAGTAAAAGATTTGAAAGTGGGGGGGAAATCACATTATAAAATAAATGTTTTTCTCCAAAACACGTTGGCCACAATTATTCATACCCTTTTATTAAATACCTTTTTGCAATCTCCTTTTGCCAAGATAACTGCTCTGAGTCTTCTCCTATAATGCCTGATGAGTTTGGAGAACACCTGACAAGAGATCAGAGACCATTCCTGCATACAGAATCTCTCCAGATCCTTCAGATTCCCAGATCCATGTTTGTGCTTCTTCTCTTCAGTTCAGCCACCCATCAGGTCAGGGAACTGGGACGGTCATGGCAGAAGCTTCATTTTGTGCTCATTGACACATTTTTGTGTTGATTTTGATGTTTGTTTTGGATCGTTGTCCTGATGGAAGATCCAACCACGGCCCATTATAAGATTTCTATCAGAAGGCGTCAGGTTTTGATTTTTTATCTGTTGATATGTGATAGAATCCACGATGCCATGTATCTGAACAAGAAGTCCAGGACCTCCAGCAGAAAAATATGCCCACAACATTAAAGATCCAACGGTATATTAAATTGTACACATGGGATACTTTTTATCTTTGTGTGCACCAAACCCATCTAGTGTGTTTGCTGCCAAAAAGCTCTTTTTTTAGTTTCATCTGACCACAGAACCCTGTGCCGTTTGAAGATCCAGTCGTATCTGACCACTGAATATGCTGGAGTTTGTATTTGGATGAGCGAGGAGCATTTTTCTTAAAACCCTCCCAAACAACATGTGGTGATGTAGGGGTTGTTTGATTTTTTTTTTTAATAGGCTTTCTGACCCCAAGACCCAACTAATCTCTGCAATTCTCCATCTGTGATCGTTGGAGAGTCTTTGGCCACTCAAACTTTCATCCTCACCGTCCATTAAAGGAGAACTCCGGCGCAAAATGAACCTTTGGTCTAATTACACATTGTTACCTAGTCAACCGTTATCTGAGATTTGTTTTCATGATTATCGAATGTAAATAGTTTTATCTCTACAAACAGTTTAGCCTATAAAGCTAGTATAACGCTAGTATATTGGGCATAGTGTAATGACAAATAAAAATCGCTTGTTAATACCACTAACAAGGCTCAAAATAGCCCCACACTAACACGGTAGCATAATGAGGGTCCCTACCTTCAAACCGAAGCATTGAGAACTTTGTAAGTGTACAGACAGTTTAATAAGAAGATATTTTAAACATACAGTCAACTTCGCGTATACAGGCAGGAGCCATCTTTGAAATACAGCCTTTACCAGTCGATCTACGAACGCCGATCCAAGTGCGCTGGTGAGATATGAACGAGCTATAAGTTGTGATAAGGTGAGCGCGAACAGCAGGCTTGGATCGGCGATAAACGATGCAGATTTATTTTTTATAGCCATTTTTTATCATATTTACCAGGGGTATGATTAATTCTGGGCACGACTGTATATACACACTTTTAATGGTATAATTGTTTCTATTTAATAGGGCTGGGTATCGAGTTCGATACTTTTTAGGAACCCACTGAATTGCCTCGATAGTATCATCATGTTTTTCGGTACCAAATTTTGATACCTAAGGGGTTAATCTCGCCAACACCAGTGAGCAAATAAGCATGCAGCATGATTGGCTTTGGCGGAAAAACACTAGTTTATGTGGTTACCCCAGGGAGACGTGACTCGCACTGTTATTGATCTGTGTAAGCGTTCCAGACCCCATAGATTGAAAATATGTGGAAAAGATCAAAAGTGCAGCTACGTTTCACCAGACTCGATCCAATATTTGCGACAAGATAATTGCGTCCAAGAACGACTACACGACAAATCTGATGAAGCACTTAACAGCGCACAGAATAAACTTGAGAGCAGAAAGTTGCTCCGGCTTCGACTGCAAGAAGAACTGGAGCGCGTCACAAATTAACCGAAATTCCGCGTATAGGATACTTGCCTCACAGACATGAGAAATAGGCCTATAGAAGCTTAAAATATGTCTACTTTTAAACAGACCAATTCGAAACAAATAGTTTATGTAATCCAAATAAAAGGTACATTGCTCTCTATAGGCGTTCACTATACTGCAGGAATGACGAGTCGGCATCATCATCTTTGCAGCCAACACACACTCAGAAAACACTAGTTTATTATTAAACAATTCAAATGTATCCTTGCTATTTTTTTCAGACACATTCATAATCATTAGGCTACTTTTGCCAATGCTTTGCGGCAAGCTTTGTGTGCTGAGCACGAGGCATATATATTCAGTGTATATTTAATTCAATTCACATTTACTTGTATAACATTTTTCACAATACATAGGATATCGTTTCAAAGCAGCTTTACAGAAAATGCATGTCTAAATTACAATTTAGAGTGATCTGTTATCAGAGGTGACTGCAATTAATGCATTTCAATAAAATTTTCATTCAGTTTCATCGTTAAACAATGCATTAAGTTAAGGCAGAAACAACGAGCTCATTGAAGTAAAGAATACATTAGAAAACTTTTGTGCTTTTTTACAGACTCAAAATATGAGTGTAACAAAGTAAAAAAAACTGAAAGATTAAAACCAAAGTTTTTTTTAGGTAATGTTGTTAAAACGGATTTTATTTAATTTTCATAAAATTAGTATCGGAAAAAGTATCGTTCAGGAACCTTTATCGAAGTCAAGGTATCAGTATATTTATTTATTTAACGATACCCAGCCCTACTATTTAAATTGTTGTAGAAATTTAAACATTTGATAACTCTTCAGGGCAGATTCAAATATACATTAAATATTGAAGAACAGGTTAAAAGTTTTTTTTTTTTTTTTAAGCTATGGACATTGAATGGCTTTCCTGAGGTAAATTTAACGTTATGTGACATTGTTTACAAGCTGTTTTTATTGAAGTCTTTCCGCAGTTGAAAGTAGTAACTTGTACAGTTTTTTTTTCAACAACCATTTAATGTTCATTTAGGTTTGTCATGCTATAACTGGAAGTAAAGAGGAAGAGTCTATCAGTTCACATGCATCTTAAAAGCAGCACTAATTAAACGCCACCTGAAAATTTCAGACAAATGTTTTCAGTTGTCGAAATCAGTGAATCGCTAAGTTGCAATGTTTCATGGTGTGTCTGTTTCCATGTTAATCAAATTCTCTCCGTTCAGTCTATGGTACAGCAATTATAATTTACCAAATTTGTTTGTCACAGGACAGGTCCTAGATTTACAGTACTTTTTTGTGGTGTTCAGGCGTGTCCAGAGGTGTGGGCTTCATCCGATTTGACCGGCGCGTTGAGGCTGAGGAGGCCATTAAAGGTCTGAATGGACAGAAACCACCAGGTGCCACAGAGCCAATCACAGTGAAATTTGCCAACAACCCCAGCCAGAAAAGCAGCCAGGCGCTGCTGTCTCACCTGTACCAGTCGCCCAACAGACGATACCCAGGACCGCTGGCGCAGCAGGCCCAGAGATTCAGGTACCCGCACACTGGTTCAGGTTCACTGCACTGGTGCTGACTTTAACTCAGCGTGATTTCATTTTTTGTGTGTGCATGTGTTTCAGGCTGGATAATCTGCTCAACATGGCTTATGGAGTCAAGAGGTATGTTACTTTGTGCTGCTGCTTGTGGGAAATATATTAAAGCAATGTTTTAGTGATTTTACTGTGGCAGGGCTCCAGACTAAGGCTCAATCTCAATTCACCCCTTGGCCCTACCCCTCCGTTTTGCGCGTTCACGTCTAGGGGTAGGGTGTCCCGATTCTTGTTGAGATAGAGGGGTAGGGCGAAGGGGTAGGGCTACATATCCCTCGAAACGGAGATTTTTCAGAGGCACACTCCAAACGGAGGGCTACGAGAAAGTTCGCTGAATGCATCGCGAATCACCGCGAGATGGCTTCGCGAACGGTTAAACATTTAAATTTAGCCCCAGATGACACCGCCATGCACTTTATTTACTCTTATAATAATAATATAGTCATTTAAATTAAGAAATTGTGTAATAAATTACCTTTCCGAAACAGAAAAGACATACATTTCGAGGAAGGAACGTTATAATCATCATGTTTCCTTAAAGTTAAGAGCAGCGGCGCTCATTGTCAGTCGTTGTCATGGAGAAATATGTCGCCGACGACTGATGACGTATCGGGGTCATGAAGGGTTGTTCCATTTCGTAGGGGAATATTTCAACCCCTTGGCCCTTGTAACTCTGTTTTAAGGGCCAAGGGGTACACTCAAAAACAAGGGGTAGGGGCAAGGGGTGAATTGGGATTGAGCCTAAGGCTGAATCCCAATTCTCTGTCTTACCCCTTCCCCTACCCCTAGCCCTTCGTCTTACCCCTAGCCCTTGTCCCTCGAAACCGAGTGGTAAGCGCTAGGGGTGAAAACATACCCCTAAGAAATGAGACGCCACTTGGTTACGTCATACATCGTCATTAACTGACGTCTGTGTCACCAGGGGCGACAAGTGTTTATCACAAACTTCCAAGATGCCGTCTGCAAGTGTGTTTATTGTCTACAACAAATCGCAGAAATCAAGGGAGAAGAGAAATCTAGATGAACTGCTGCGCTTGTGACAGGGCGCATGTTTACCTGAACGAGCAGAGAGAGAGAGAGGGAGCCCCGGTCGCGCACGCGCGCGCACTCTCTCTGCCTTTCACCGTCTCAAAACTAAGCGCTGTATTGCTCTCTCTCCCTCGCACATATTAATTAAAATAAATCGACACGATGTTTTTTTCCTGACGTACATGAACGCTAAAGAAGTGATATGTTGATGTGCATTTTAGCATTGCTAATATTCCTGTGTTTTCGTCTCGTTCGGGATCCGTTTGAAGCTGAATGCATCACCTGAAAAGCTGGCACGTAACTTAACTATGTGTCAGTGTCAAATAATGTACACATAATGAATGGCGACTGTAGAAAGTAAAAGCGGAATCCCGGACATTTTGGGTGATCTCGAAATGTGGGACTGATTGTGCAAATCAGCAATGTAACGTTAGCATAGCCTAGCGTAGCAAACTAGCGATTTTTAAAAAACGTTAAAAACGTTTCAATAAACAACATAGTTGCAAATATATATGTACATAACTGTGTAGAACACAAAACAAGACTGTCATTAATTTTTAATCAATCATTTAAGCCGAAAATACTTAAATTTATGGGACTCTCTGGATGATATGCCCGCAATTGTTGCCGGTTGCGCAGTGCATTCTGGGTACCCCTTGGTTTCAAGTAAGCTCGCGAAAATTCTTGGTTTCAAGGGGTATATACCCCTTCCCCTTAGCCCTACCCCTAGATCAAAATGAGAATTGGGATAGCCCTTACTCTCACGTGAACGTGCAAAATTAAGGGGAAGGGGTAAGACAGAGAATTGGGATTCAGCCTATAGTATCATATACATTTGTAGATCATGATAACCACAGGTTATACCATGGCAAAAAGTAACAATATGGTTTCTAACTTTGTTTTTCTGGAAAGTCAAGTGTGACTTTCCAGAAGAAAAAAAAGTTAGAAACCATATTGTTAACGTCAACGTTGCTTTAAGAGGAAAAAAATTCAAAAGTTGCATTGCTGTATGCGGCACATTTGATTTATTTCTGGATATAATAATGTAGAATACCGGTGAAAACTAAATCTTTATAAACCATTATAAATACTGTAAACATTCCCTCCTCTCCACAACAAGTCCTTTAAAATTACCTGTGTTTGTGAAATGAATAGCGCATTAAACTTGGGCTCACATACTTATCTCATTCAGCACAAATGAAAATGTGTGCTTTGCGCATGTTTTACTTGCTTGACATTAATTGCATTCTTTAAGCCACTGTGGAATATAAGTTGCAGCAAAGTTTCAGATGATAAAATATTGTACATTTTCAGAAATAAAACTATAGTATTTCTGTCATGACAACTCTCTGGAGAGATTGGCATGGTAATGGATATGGCAATGTTCATGTCAAGTCATCTTCATTTATATAGCGCTTTTAACTAGGGCTGCAACAAACGATTATTTTGATAATCGATTAATCTAACGATTATTAGAACGATTAATCGACTAATCGTCGATTATTTCGCAGACTAATCAGTAAGTTTGGAACGATTATTCAGCTTTTCCAATTAGTTAAAACATTGAGTTATACATATCTAACATATTCTATACATATTATCTAACTATAATATAAAAAAAGAAAATCACTTCAGCTTTTGAAATAGTTGTTTTAATGAACTTTGAGTTTTCAGATTTCGGTCCAACTCAAATCACACTCAAATGCTCTCTAAGCATTGTTTAATAGGCCCACTGCTTTTCTTAGAACTGAAACAGAAAAAGGGACATTTACTTCAGGACACAAAGAATGGTAAAATATTAATCTGCAAACAATTATTATAAGTATAAAATTACAATCTTTTTTTACATGACAATTGAGCTGACAGAGACGTTCTCATTCACCTTTTAATTTATAGTATGATAAAGTAACTGCCATGATATTCTTCCTATATCATAGGAAAGATATAACATCTCGTTTTGTAAGTCTTCATGATTATTGAACAAAATACAGGCAAGTGATAAGACTATAATAATACCTAATATACTAATAGTGTTACAATAATAAAAACAGCCCTGACTCCTAAGCTCGATCAAGCTTTATTCTATGCAAAATAAGTCATCACATTACTGTAATTATATTACTATTGATAATATTATTACTATTATTAGTAGTATTGCATTCTCTAATAAAGAGAGATTTGCCGCTGGTTAGTTAGCTCCAGCTGGAGAACACTCACTTCTCACCGGCTCCTCTTTTGCCGGGATGTTTCCTCTTGCACCCCAACATGCATGTTGTGCTTTTTCACGGGAGAAAAGCAAGTTGCGCCTTGCATGTATTGCACACGACAGCATTCTTGATTTGAAGTTTTGTGAAACTTTCCCAAACCTAAACCTTGCTAGTTCGGATTCGTTTGCACTGTCATAATTCGCGCTGTGTTTTCTTCTACCGCAATAGCATTTGTAAGGGCTGCACTACACTCTAGCGCTACAGCGCCGTAGCGGTCAAATCGCGATATTGCAGGCCCTTACATTAGGTCACGTGAGATCAAACGACTACTCGACAACAAAGATATTTGTCGACAAATTTTTATTGTCGACGTTGCCGACAACGTCGACTAATCGTTGCAGCCCTACTTTTAACAATGGAGATTGTTTCAAAGCAGCTTTACAGAGATAAACATACAATTTACGGTAACAGAGATTGTTTTGGCTTTATAGCGATTTTGAATAATGTTATTTCCAGCTAAAGTTGGTTTTGATTGATTCACTTCCAGCAAAATTATCATTTGATTTGTTATTACATTAGGGGCCACTAAGACGACGGCGTTCTCTCTAAACAGACTTTAAACGCGAACCTGTGACCTGATGGCGTTCACATGCGCATTAAAAATTGATTCTATAGTTATATTCGTTTGAATATATATGCGCAGGTTTGTAATTTCCCAACAAACCATGCCTAAACAAACTACTTGTCTTGCCTATAAATTTGATACAGAATTTTATTTTATCACTTCGGGGTACGCGAACCGGATTTTCAACAACGCTTTATCTGTAGAGTGGGAAAGGGATCCTCCATAGGGAGAGGATAGTTGACACTTCAGCACTGCATTGTCATCGGGTCCAGGCGAATCTCCTTCATCAGATCTGGATACGGCCTGGATCCGGCAGGCTGCGGGAAAACCTCGGGATAAACAAAGACACTAATATTAGTGTAGATGCCATTCTTCTTATGATGTAACGAGTACATCAAGATTTAAGGGAAGTGTTCCCAGTTCCGGCTGACCTAATCTATGCAGCCTAACATTGAATTATAGAAGTCTATAATGTATTATGTGAATGCTAGGTCAAAGAGATGTATTTTTAGTCTAGCTTTGAACTGACAGAGTGTGTCTGCTTCCCGGACAATGGTAGGAAGACTGTTCCAGAGTTTTGGTGCTAAATAGGAAAAGGATCTACCGCCAGCAGTCGATTTTGATATTCTAGGTATTATCAACTGGCCGGAATTTTGAGATCGCAATAGACGTGAAGGACTATAATGCGTTAAGAGCTCGCTCAAGTACTGCAGAGCTAAACCATTTAGTGCTTTGTAAGTAATCAGCAATATTTTAAAATGTATACGATGTTTAATAGGGAGCCAATGCAGTGTTGACAGAACCGGGCTAATATAGTCATACTTCCTGGTTCTGGTAAGAACTCGAGCTGCTGCGTTTTGAACCAGCTGTAGTTTGTTTATTAAGCGTGCAGGGCAACCATCCAGTAGAGCATTACAATAATCTAGCCTTGATGTCATGAACGCATGAACTAATTCATGTATTTGGTCTTGGCGGAATAGATCTGCTGCTGCTGCAGAGCAAGTACCGAGACTTGCTACTGCCAATACATTCACAGACATTCCTGTGAGCATGTAAGACAAGCAGGAGGTGAGACATGAGAAAAGTGCAGAGCCCTCCCCCACACAAACATTTTTTCAGATAGTTAAAGGCTGTACAGCCAATGCCAATAAAGCTGCACAGTTGCACAGCTTTTCCCAGTCGCTTTAGATTTTGAGTTTGGAGCACAGTTGTGCAACAGCTGAAAGAGACTATTGCTATACGTTTGTAAAGCAACTTTTCACCCTGCACAGTTGCACAGGTTAAGAAATAAACAATACAACCATATACACACCTGCTGCTGAGTGAGAGGACAGGCTGCTGCATAGCCAGATATGCATATCTGTACATAGAATGAACATAGGCGGGACGAGATGGGACAAAACACACACCCCAAACAAACAGATCTACCGCCAAGACATGAATTTAATTTTTTCCCCCCCTCTCTTTTGAGAGCCATGAGACCGCATGTTTTAATATCTATGTGTTCCTATGCTACCTTGCAGAATGGCTTAACACTAGTGGCCTATGATTATGTGTGCCTGGGCTACCATGCCGAATGGCTTAGCTCTAGAAATGCGCACCGTGTTCTTATTAACAATAGGTTGCAAGGCGATGGAGATAAAAACCCAGCAACCACCGGAGCAAGTATCATAATTAAATAAATGTATGTATCATTGACACAACCTTATACTCTTATTGATAAGTGAAAAGCTGTTGAGAGTAAGACGATAAAGAAAGACCGAGCGTGATCTGACGCTGTGTGCAGCTGAAATCAACCGCTCACATGTGTCTTAGATGTTGATTTCGGATGCTTTCTGAAAGCAGACTGCTAACAGCAACACCACCAGTATTTGAATGTTTAGCCGCACCTCATTGGCCGCTGATGCAACAGCAACCTATCAGCTGCACTATGTAGATGACAATGCGATTTCTACCAAATTGAGTTAAGGACCTATCAGCCTGTGCCATCTAGAGTTTCATGCCAGAACTTAGAAAAACAGCCTTAACATTTAGTATAAAAACAAATACAAAAAAAAAAACACTGGCAAAGCTGCATAACAAAAATGATTCTATTAATACATTTAATACAACATACATGACTATATTAATAGTATACCATGGTCTGTCTGAATACTTGGAATTCTGATTGGCTGGAAGGTGTGCAATAAAACCGTTTAATGAACAGGTCAGTTTAATCACCGATCTATATTAATGCGCTGATTTCATTGAAACGCGCACACACACACGTCACTTTGAGATTGCGCTGCGCACACACAGAAACATTCACACAACAACACAACAGCACAAAAACATATCAACACTGCCCTGCGACTTTTATTAATAAAATAGCTTAGCTAATGAATTGCTAAATTATATTTCTCACCAACGAGAGGGTAAGATTGAAGCTGTGAGTTGAATTACTTAAAAAACATTATTGTTAGAGAGAAACGCTGAATAGACAGTTAATTCACACACGCCTCTCTCTCTCTCTATCTATCATCCATCTATCAATAATGCTATAAAATAAATGCTATATTTCATTCATTGAAGTAAATGTAATCTTACGCACTACTTTATCTCTGTGTCTGATTCAAAGCAGACAGACTGCTAGAGCTAACGAGCCATAACCGACAAAAATAAGTCATTTTTAACCTTCTGGTCATATTGTGCTGCAAACATCAATAACAGCTTTAAGTTATTAACACTGGCAAATGACCACATGGTATAAGCGGTATAATCCACAGCTAGCTGTGCATTAAATTATTTGAATTAATGAATGTACCACATATCTCACGAAAGACCACGGTCTTGATTTTAATGTTACTTCAGTAAGTCCACGCTGGAGATTTATGGATTGAAAAGCCTAATAAACAAATGGCTTCTCTTGTTTTCAACATCACTTCTGCTGAGAATGTCAACGCTGTTTGATCTGGCTAAAGTAGTTTGTTCAGAGACATTTGTGGTTTGTAACAAAATTATTAAACTATCCAAATTGTACATAAATAATGCATAGTGAGTAAATCCATTAATGCTCCTTTTATAATCACCAAATCTGTCACTGGCTGCAGATCAGCCTGAGCTTGCTCAGGTCTCATAGATGATCTTCTGTGCATTAAATCTTATTTGCATTGTCTGCATCCTAATACAATAAAAATACTAATTGTTTTTAAAGATGTTAAAAGAAAGGAACATGTTGCCCATTACTGAACAGTACAGCTTCTTGGCAGCGTACTACTGTACCATAGAAAATGATCTTCATTTTAGTTGAAATACTGTTTTTGTTTGTTTTTGGCAGTAGATTCTCACCCATGTCCATTGATGGGGTCACCAGCCTGGCGGGCATCAATCTTCCGGGTCACGCTGGTACGGGCTGGTGCATTTTTGTGTATAATCTGGCGCCAGACGCCGACGAGAACGTCCTCTGGCAGATGTTTGGCCCATTTGGCGCTGTGACTAACGTAAAGGTCATACGAGACTTCAACACAAACAAGTGCAAAGGATTTGGCTTTGTGACCATGACAAATTACGACGAGGCTGCTGTTGCAATCGCCAGTTTGAATGGGTACCGGCTCGGGGACCGAGTTTTACAGGTCTCGTTCAAGACAAACAAAACACACAAGGCCTGAATGAGTGAAGACGTGCAACGTCATGCAAACATGACTCTACTTTAATGACAGGAAATATTTCATGTATTTTTTTCTTTTCTTAAAAGTTTACTTTTTAAAACATACGTTTAAAATATACATTTAAAGATTTAATTAGAATAACAGCTGACTGTTAAGTGTGTTTGTTTTGGTGTATAATGTGGATGGTGGCCTCCATGATACTGAGATGGAGAGCGTTCCCATGTTGGTGTTCCCATCTCTCCTCATGAGCTTCTGCGGTGCAATCCACTGTATAATGTACATGCATGAATCTTTAGTTTGACCATTTCAGTTTTCTTTGTGCTAATGACTATCTTTATGTTAAATATTTAAATAAGTATAAAACAAGATGTACATGTTCTTTTGTGTTTAAAATAATTTGGGATTTTTGTTTTTATTGTTCAGTACATCAATAAATGCGTTAAAGGGAAGACATTCTGTATTTTGTTTAGTGCAACTTATGTTAATTATATTGTACCTATTAGGGCTGCACAATTTGGGGGAAAATCCAATTGTGTTTAATTAAAAAATTGTGATTACAATTTTAAAAGGTGTTTTTTTTTATATCAATATTATTATTTTTGTTTTTACTAAATAAAAATATTACTATTGTAATTCACTGTCAAATAAAAAACGAGTATTTCAAAAAAAAAGATCTAACAGTACAACTTTAAAATGACAATAGTATTTTTTTTCAAAGGTTAAACCATCAAGCTTTTATTTTGGTGGAAAACTGCAGGGAGCCCCTAAAGCTGCTTCCAATTTTTTTTTCTGACCACAATCAAGTCAGCTAGTGTGATGTTTAACGTTTAATATTAACGTTAAAGAGTTGTGTGCAGGAGTGATGAGATAGTTAGCAGATTGTCATCACTCAATGGCTGGCTGTCTAAGTGGTGTTCGCAAAATAATGTATAATTTATTGACAATTGGAAAAGTTTTTGGGGCAGACCTGACCTGTTGAAAAGAGATGGTATTCATCCCTCCTGGGATGGTGCTGCTCTTCTCTCTAGTAATTTGGCTCATAGTCTTAGAGTTCAAACATGACAATCTGGGGCTCAGGTCAGGAAGCAGACAGACTGGCTAAACCGACCGTCTGCTAGCGGCCTCACGTCACCCAGGTCAGATAAATCCCATCACATAGAGACTCTTTCACCTAGACTGTGTCTGTTCCCTGAATTTGGAAATCCAAAAAACGTCCAAACCCATCTACGGTTAAAAATTTAATTGATGTTTAACAAATAAAAAACAGATATAATACAGATGAGCAAATGATAAAGCTCGGGTTGCTGAATATTCGATCTCTCTTCAAAAGCACTTATTGTTAATGATATGATTACAGACCATAACCTAGATGTGCTGTGTTTGTGGCCAAATCCAAACGATTTTATTGCTTTAAATTAGGGATGCACGATGATATCGGGACAACATCGGTATCGGCCGATAAAAGCTTAAAATGACCATCATCGGCATCGGCCGATATGAATATTTTTGCCGATGAGTCTTGCCGATAGGGTGGCGTGTTTCCTATGCGCACGTGACGACCGTGAACGAAGCATGAGCGCCAGCAACTTAAACTTCCAACTAGGGGTGTGCGGTGCGTCTCACGGTTTTTGATCGTGGACGATTAAAATGTCTCCACGATCTGCTTTTGAAGAAAAATCATAGTATCGTGCATTCTATCAGTTCAATTCTGGCGCCTTCATCTCAACATACTGTACAACGCGACGTACATTCACATCACATCACATGTAAACGCAGAGGTAGAGTTACACTCACGGTCACGGGACACCGCAATTCACAAAAGTTCATTATTTGCATGTGCGTCAAAGTCTTGCTAGGTAAACATATCATTCACGTGCTGATGCGCTGTTCTAACATCCGCTTTTCTGAGCGCGTTACACCCGAGGCTCACAGGAACTAAAAGCCTGTCACAGCGCCTGCATACTGGACTAATCTTTCGAGTCTTATTGCGCTGATACTGTCAAATACACACACGGTTTACATAAACAAAGTTGGTTATGTCTAAAGTGAAAGCAAACAGAGAAAATCTGCTTGTCAAATGCGTGTATATTAGACGCGTCGCGTGCAGTTCTTAAAGAGACAGTATAATATGCTGCCGCTTGTCCTTAAAGAGATAATGCACCCAGAAATAAAAATTCTGTCATTATTTACTCACTCTAATGTTGTTCCAAACCTGGATTCATTTCTTTCTTGTGCTTAAATATACTATGGAAGTCACTGAAGTACAGCAACTGTTTGGTTAGCCACATTCTTCCAAATAACTTTTATAATTTCAACAGAAGAAAGAAACTTGAGAGAGTAAATGATGACAATTTAAATTTTGGGGAGAACTATCTCGTTAATGTTAATAAAACAACAAAACACAAAGAGGAAATCACTCACTGCTCTTGACTGAGAACTTTAATAGAAGCTTTAATAAGCTTTTTTTGCACTTAAAAAAAACACACATATATCGGTATCGGTATCGGCATCGGGCAAAATTAGTCTGAAAATATCGGCATATCGAATATCGGCCAAAATCCTATATCGTGCATCCCTACTTTAAATGAGTCGACCCCACAAGATTACGGTTATAAACATGAACCTCGTCTGAAACGCAAAGGGGAGGTGTTGCTGTAATTTATAGTAATATTTTCAAAACCTCTAAGAAATCTATTTTTAAATATACTTCTTTTAAAGTGTTGGTGCTTAATGTAAAAATATATAGTGTAAACGATAAATCACGTTTGAAAATTCTGCTGGCTACTGTATACAGGCCACCAGGGCACTATACAGACTTTATCAAAGAATTTGCTGACTTTCTATCAGAATTAGTACTGGCTGCAGATAAAGTACTAATTGTTGGTGATTTTAATATACATGTAGATAACGGAAAAGATGCATTGGGATTGGCATTTAAAGACTTTATAAACTCAATTGGAGTTAGACAACACGTGTCAGGACCCACTCAATGTCGTAATCATACTCTAGATCTAATATTATCACATGGAATAGATGTTGATGCCGTTGAAATTCAGAGCGATGACATCTCAGATCATTATCTAGTCTTGTGTAAACTTCATTTAGCCAAGGCTGCAAAGCCGACTCTGTGTTATAAATATGTTAGACCAGGGATGGGCAACTTCGGTCCTGGAGGGCCACTGTCCTACAGAGTTTAGCTCCAACCCTGAAAAAATCACCTGCCTGTAACTTTCTAGTAATCGTGAAGACCTTGATTAGCTTGTTTAGGTGTGTTTGATTAGGGTTGAAGCTAAACTCTGTAGGACAATGGCCCTCCAGGACTGAAGTTGCCCATCCCTGTGTTAGACCTATAACTTCTGCCACTAAAGATTGCTTTATCAATAATCTTCCTAATCAGTTTCATCATCTCAGCATCCCAGATAGCTAAGAAGAACTCGATATTGCGACAGAAACTTTTAACTCTCTCTTTTCCAGCACTTTAGACGCAGTTGCTCCGCTGCGCTTAAAAGAAGATTAAAGAAAATAGTCCAACGCCGTGGTACAACTCAGGCCTTTAAGAGAGCAGCCAGAAAAAGAGAGTGAAACTGGAAGAAAACAAAACTAGAGGTATTTCGGATTTCATGAAAAGAGAGCTCGATTGCTTACAGAGAGGCCTTAAAAGCTGCTAGATCTGCTTATTTTTCAACCCTATTAGAAGAAAATAAACATAATCCTAGGTATTTATTTGAAACAGTGGCTAAACTAACGAAAAAGAAAGCTTTAAACCCAGAAGTTTCCAAGAAACACAGCAGTAATAAATTTATGAACTTCTTCACTTATAAGATCGATAATATCAGGGACAAAATTATAACTACGCAACCGTCTACTACAGTATCGCATCAGGGAGTGCATTGTAGTCTACCTGAGGAAATTTTTTATTAATTTGTTGCTATAGGAGAGGAAGAATTTTGCAAACTCGTTAAGTCATCTAAATCGACAACATGTATGTACAGTAGACCCTATACCGACTAAGCTGCTGAAAGAGATGCTTCCAGATGTCATAGATCCTCTTCTTAATATCATTCATTCGTCTTTATCTCTAGGATACGTATCAAAAATGTCTATGGCCGAGTGCGGGCGGTAGCATAATGCTCTGTGTGTGCGGCTGCGGGAAAATAAAACAATTAAATAGAAATATCGATGAATAAAACATATAAAAACTAATGAATTGTTATTCATCTGTTGCAGAAAAGAAACAAGAACAACTAAAACAAAATAGAAACGATTTACAGGCCAGAGTTTCTATATGTAACATGTTTGCAGCGTTGAGCGATGTAGCCAATCACAGACATATGTGTTGATTTCTTGAACGCAATGGCCAATCAGAAGCATTTAAGATAGAAACTCCTCACCGCTCAAAACTGACTTTTTGTTCAGTGCTGAATTCTGCATGCTGGCAAATCCTCTGATTATAAAAGATATTATGAAAGATTCATTATGCAGTCAGCTTCATTGATGATAACGGAGATGTATGAGATCGCGATGAACGGATGTCAGCTTTTTAGGAATTATTAATGGAGCGCATTTGCGCACATTCAGTCATGACAAACCATGCACACAGCCTGCGTGCTTTTATGTTAAATTAACAGTGGATTGTGAATGTTAATGCTTTAATAACATAATTTATCAGGAGCATTTATGCTGATGTGTATGGCGACACGTAGGCTAACACTAAGTTAAGTTACGTTACACCTTAACTAACACATTTTCTGCGGGGAAACCCTACACAATAGCATAAAGAACATATACCTGGGAGGCTGAATAGGCTAAATTAACATAAGCCAGCGAGTCCAACAAGTTACCGGTAAACAAATTCACCAAGCTCCCGCAATCTCATTCCACAACACTGAATCCATTGAATTCTTCCTCGGTGTCGCTTCTGAACAACTCCGCTAACTAGCGCACCCTCTCGCGACTGTAGACGGTAATGTTTTCTCTTGGTTCATCTCAGTCAGTATGAATTAATTTTGATATATAAGTCGCACCTGATTATAAGTCGCAGGACCAGCAAAACTATGAAAAAAAGTGCGACTTATAGTCCGGAAAATACGGTAGTTAAGGCGGCAGGCGTGTGTTGCTTAGGCGGACGCCTTAGTTCCAAAGTGCTGCGGGAAACCCTGTGTTACGTTAACGTGCCTATTCAGCCTGTTGTTCTGTGTGCTATTGTGTTGCTGAATAACTTGCCTTTCCAGATTAAATGTCTGTTCTTGGTCTTGGATTTTGTTAAATAAATTTCTAAATAAATGCGACTTATAGTCCAGTGCGACTTATAGTCCGGAAAATACGGTAAGAATAAAAAACTTTCTACTAATCCTCAACTGGATCCATTGCTCCTCGAAGTGAAACCAGCACTTCTGAGGTAAGTTTCCCAGGATTATTCCTCACAGCCTCACATTCATCTGAATAAACTTGATGTGTCTTATCGATCTGATGTGGCCGGTTTGCATGCATTGCCTCAGATCATTTGCGTTTGAATAGCGCGCGCTCTCTGTGGGCACATTAAAAGATAATGAGCTGAAATGAGAACTCCCTCTATTTTTATATAGATTACATAAACGGAGAATATTTGTTTTAGTTTTGAATTAGATCATTTAAAAGTACACACTTAAATGATTATAAAGATATATTGCTCAAGCCTGGGTGAATAGTATTCGCTGAGTTTTGTTTAAGTTTAGAGACGTGCACCAGAAAAAAAGTTCACAGAGAGGCAGAAAGCACACCCTGTTTATTTTCTTTATTTTACAAAGCACAATGTTTTATTTAGATTGTAAGTGGACACATTAAAAAGTAGACATTTAACAGCTTATTTTTTCATATTAAGTCTGTATGACCAAAAATGATGGAGTATTTTAAGACTATTTTGCTGCTATGTAAAAAAAAAACGAGCAAAACGCGCCGGCGCGTTTGCCGACCCCAGCGGGTTAAATTCGCTGATAATCGCGTGACCAGATCGCAAACCATAATTCAAAGCTTAAGTGTATAGACTCACGCACAACTCTCATTCCTCGTGACGTTATAACATTTCGTCTCGTCTCGTTTTGGTCAACGAAAATGAAGAGACATTTTAGCATAGTTTTTATTTTGTAAACCACATTTAGTCTCGTTTTTATTCGTCAACAATATTGCATTATTCATTTAATTTTAGTCACATGACCAGCATTTACGTTGCGTCTCGTTTTCGTCAGGTGATAAAGGTTCGTTGACGAAGATATTTCGTCATAATTTTCGTTGACGAAAGCAACACTAATGTAATGTACAATCCGTTCCTGTAATATCCGACTGATTTCTATCTTCTTCGCCTCTGTGTGCCACAGGTGTGCTCCTCCTGCTGTCCGGCGCGAGAGCTGATCCGTGTGTTCGACGTGACGGAGTGCACGGCTCTGCACAGGCACGGCACGGGCCGCCGCTGTCCTCACTGCGGGGGGGAGCTGCGGGACACCATCGTGCACTTCGGGGAGCGCGGGACCCTGGAGCAGCCGCTGAACGAGCGGGGCCGCGCAGCGGGCCGACCTCATCCTCTTCCTCAAGGTCAGCGGACGCACCAGTGTTGAGTCTCACACCAGGCACTAACCAGACGCGATACTGCCACCAATAATGTCTGTCCACACCAGATGTGACGCGACTTTGGGACGCGATAGAGTCTGCAATTGAAAACACAGCCAATCAGAAGAGCGGGAGTGAGCCGGCTCTCTCGGCAAGTTCCCGGCATAATCAAATTCATGAATATCACACCATTATTAAAAATACATACTGAGCTCCTGAAACAATCTTGTCATAGAATACACTTGTCTGTTAACAATGAGTTGACAGTTTGAACATTCTCGTTTACAAAAGACACACAAAATGATATTCAAACTCACACAGATGCTTTTAACATTAAAGCACATAAACAGCACCTGAGATTATCATACTGCCAGTGCGTCTGGCTAGGACACAAACTCTGATGAATATGGAAAGACAGCTTTTATCGCGTGCCGCGTCTGGTTAGCACACAGTGTTAGGCTCCACATGGAGAAAACATGACATGAAATCATTTGTGATGTAAAAAATTAAACAAAGATAAGTCATTTTAGAACATTTGTTAATGTTCATAATACGACATTAATTAGCAATCTTTGTGGGCAGACGTGTCGCCCTGGCCTTGTAGCGAAGAGGAATCGGATATACGCGTTTAGTCATTGGTCCAGATATCGAATCTATATCTGATGTAAACCCACATTCGGAAGTGGCTCAGAACGGATGTGGAAAAATTGGATCTTGCGCAGGTCTTTGTGTTTACACCATAGACGGCATAAAACAATGGACATAGTGTGACGTCACCCGTAGTGTTCCTGAAGAGCATTATTGAAGCTAAAGTGGGCGGAGCCGGCCGTCGCCATCTTGGCAGTGTCACTCCCGGATAACCGGAAATGTGCAGCGAGGCGGATTAGCTGAGATGACGTGACGCTAACACAGCAGACAAACGGCTAGCAGTGACAGCAGCGGAAATCCACCTGTCACTCAAGTGGCCACGCCCTTAATTATGCAGACCTTTAAGACTTAATATAATTTAAACGGACGAGTTATAAAATAATTCACCCTCCTCACAGTCGTCATGAAGGTCAAAATTAGCTATATAGACCAAAACCTCTTTTAGTACCAGGCTGTAAACATGTTTTTTTCTGCTGTAAAGTTTTAACTATGGCATTGAGTTTCTTCTGCAGTTGGTCTCTAGTGGCCAGTCGATGAACTGCAGTTTAAGTCAAGTCAAGTCACCTTTATTTATATAGCGCTTTTTAAAATACAGATTGTATCAAAGCAGCTTCACAGTGATAACATGAAAATAATAATAAAAAAATAAAAATAATTGCATCACCGTCCACCTTAAGGCAGATCTTAAAGATATCTTAAAGATCAGGTGACAGAATGGAGAAAAAAAACCTTGGGAGAACCCAGACTCAGTCGGGGGCCAGTTCTCCTGCGAACAGTGGATGATTATGATTCAGGAGCATTACAGGTCAGAAGTCAGAATGAATCAGAGTATTTGTCCAGTTCCGGTTGGTGGAAGTCGGAGTGGAGAGGAGGAGAGACTGGTTGACACCTCAGGCCAGCGGCGTCGTCGTGTCCTGGTGCTGGTCCTTCATCAGATCTGGATACGGCCTGGTTCCGGTGGACAGCGGTAAACCTCGGGATAGACAGAGAGACTACTATTAGCGTAGACGCCATCCTTCTTATGATGTACCAAGTATCAGGATTTACGAGAAGGGTTCCCGGTCCCGGCTGTTTTAAACTATGCAACCTAACATTGAATTATAAAAGTCTATAATGTATTATGTGAATGCTAGGCCGAAGAGATGTGTTTTTAGTCTAGCTTTGAACTGACAGAGTGTCTGCTTCCCGGACAATGGTAGGAAGACTGTTCCAGAGTTTTGGTGCTAAATAGGAAAAGGATCTACCGCCTGCAGTCGATTTAGATATTCTAGGTATTATCAACTGGCCGGAGTTTTGAGATCGTAATAGACGTGAAGGACTATAATGTGTCAAGAGCTCGCTCAAGTACTGCGGAGCTAAACCATTTAGTGCTTTGTAAGTAATCAGCAATATTTTAAAATTTATACGATGTTTAATAGGCAGCCAATGCAGTGTTGACAGAACTGGGCTAATAATATTATGGTCATACTTCCTGGTTCTGGTAAGTCTCTTCAGTGTTGGTTTCAAGAGAGAGACGGAAAGGTTGCCGCTTGGTTTACATGTGCAACAAATTCCGATCAGTGCCAGATGTGAGTAAAAAATCTGACTTTTCGTGCCAGTGTAAATGCATCCAAAGAGTTATCGCATTGCTGACAGATATTGCTGAAAGATCAGGACTACAAAAAAATTCACACGACTTACCATGACATACCATGGAACACAGTGAAGACAGTCATCAACAAGTGACATTATCAAGAACAGAGACTTTATGAAGAACAGGGCGTCCCTCCAAAATGGATGAAGACAGAGAGAAAGCTGGTCAGGGAGGCTGTCAAGTGCCAACCTGGGGTGCGTTTCCCGAAAGCATCGTTAGCCAACTATGGTCGCAAGTGCCATTGAACTCTATTGGTAACGACAGAACTTGCGACCATAGTTGGCTAACGATGCTTTCGGGAAACGCACCCATGGCTGGTTGCTTCGAGCAGGACAAATATCTCCCATATCCCCCTCTGTCTGGGCTATGGGGCCGTGTGGGAAGACGCACACCTTTTCTGACTAAAAAACACATCCAAGCCCAGGTAAACTTAGATATTTGGTCCACAATTGTAAAGGTCTGTTTGTAGAAGAACAGCATATCTGTGGCTTTAGGCTGCTTTAGGCAGCAGAATGGCTCCCGCTAAAGATGCATGTTGAGCAGCTCAGCCTGAGGCCAGAACTGAGTCCTGTAGAAAGCCTGTGATGTCCTGAAGAGGAGACGCTCTCGCTGTGATCAAAATCTGATTCTCTGGGTTTCAGTTTTTCCCAGCTGTTGTAACAGTATAGATGTTTGATATCCACTGTAAGCTGCAGCAGTAAAAGATGTTAACACAACATCTATCATGTAGTCACATTTGTTTTATAAATAATGCTGCTTGATGTGATCCATCAGTTGCTGCTTGTCGTGTGTTTGTCCATCAGGTGCTGAAGAAGTACTCCTGCTTGTGGTGCATGAACAGACCAGCCAACAAAAGACCAAAGCTGTACATTGTGAATCTTCAGGTAAATGTTTATAATCTCTCGATTCCTTCAGCTGACGTGATTTAACAGCTCGTGTGTTTTCCTGGTTTATGTAAGTGGACACCGAAAGATAACTTGGCCACTCTGAAGATCCATGGGAAGTGTGATGCGGTGATGGGTCTCCTCATGGAGGAGCTGGGTTTGGAAGTTCCCGTTTACAACAGGTAAGAGCCGCTAACTGGTGAAATACTGTGAAGATGCTAACAGAAGCGGACGGTGATCCATTGTTTTGGGAGACTGAAACCGCTATTTTTTTACCTTTGACCCAGGGTAAATCAGTAGCCATAACAGCAACAACAACTGCGACTACTTGCTGGAGTTCATGCTTCAGAAGCTACTGAGCCTCTTTTATTTATTTATTATTTAGGCCTACTTTAATGTATTTTTATTTTATTTCTTTATTTATTTATATTTCGTTCTTATGCTATGATGCTTGTATTTTGTCTGATTAAAGGATAATTCCGGTATTTAACACTTTGAGTCTATTTTCTAGTTTGTTTTGGATGAACTAGAGTGGTGGACTTAGAAATGTTGACGATGGGTCCTGTTTCGACTTTTTGACTATTTTAGAATCGCCTCTGAGCGCTTCAGAGTGGCTGTCTATGGGCATGCTCAAACATGTCCTTAAAACAACCCTTAACGTTCGTTTTCAAAACTGTGCAACTCACCGAGTGGTTAGTGGTGTTCGTTGATGTTCCAAAACAAGTAGCGTAGCGAAATACAGTTTCTGTCGTGTTTTATTTGCCATTTTTTAGGCAAGGCAAGTCAAGTTTATTTATATAGCACATTTCATACACAATGGCAATTCAAAGTGCTTTACATAGAAGAAATTAAAATAATCAAAACAAATAAGAATAATTAAAACAGTTTAGAATAAAAAATCAAATAAAGTAGTACTGGTCCACCCCTATCTGAGATGGATTTTTTTAAATCGCATTGATGTCTGCTGGAGGACTCAGTGCTCGCTGATTTTACTGCGCTACCGGAAACGGAAAGGGGTCTGTTTACATTTGGTTGTAGTCTTTTCGCTCGGTTCTCCGTCTCTCAGAAGGCTAGCGTGAGCTGAGCAACTGCGGCAAAGTGGTTGTCGCCATCAAGTGGTCGGGAGTGTGCTAACGCTTCAGACTCAAATATCGAGCGGAAGTTTATACGCGGTTGTGAGGTATCTGAAAAAATAGTTCCACTATAGCAAATAACACGGATTGAAAGCATACATTGCGCCGCTATATTTGTTTTTAATCATCAACGAACACCACTAACCACTCGGTGAGTTGCACAGTTTTGAAAACGAACGTTAAGGGTTGTTTTAAGGACATGTTTGAGCATGCCCATAGACAGCCACTCTGAAGCGCTCAGAGGCGATTCTAAAATATTTAAAAAGTCGAGACAGGACCCATCGTCAAAATTTCTAAGTCCACCACTCTAGTTCATCCAAAACAAACTAAAAAATAGACTCAAAGTGTTAAATACCGGAATTATCCTTTAAGACATTTCGTATTTTGTAGGGATGGGCATTTCAAGCAAAAATAATATTCGACGATCGCTGGGAATTATTTGATTATTATTTAAAAAACGCACCTCTGCCCCTCATGCTCACCGGTGACACGGCGTTCGCTCCGACATTAAATTTCTCTGTACTATAGGCCTACATGTTGTAGCCATTAAAGAAAAGTTAGTTTCATATTTATGTTTAAATAATATGTTATTTTTTCCATTTCATATAGGCTATGTTGATTAGGCCCTAGCTATATGAAAAGTGAACAGCGTGAGTAAGATGCGCAATATCGAGACACATCATTTTGACCACTTCATTAAGTTTTGTTTTGTATAAAGCCTTTCTTTTAAGTGAATTTCGTTTTGTATAAATTGTATCTTAATTTTAATAAATGTTTCATTAAACAATTGCCTGCATTTAATAAATAAGAAGCAAATATAGCAGACAATAGCCTATAATCAGGACTGGAGGCGCCGACGCGATATAACTTGCATCGCACGTGAACTGGAGCTTGTCTCATAAATGAACAGAAACTATATCTAAGCTTGAAATGTCTACTTTTAAACAAAACAATTCAAAACGAAAAGAAACAGACAACTCTAATAATGAAGTGTGCATTTCTCTGTATAGGCACCTTCACAACACTGCGAAGGTGGCGAGTCAGCATCGTCACACAAAACACTAGTTTATTAATAAACAATTAAAATGTCTCCTTGCTATATTTGACACATTTATAATGATTAGGCTATTTGCCGGTTCTTTGTGGCAAGCTTTATGCGTCTGCTAACTAATCGAATATCGTGACTCATCCCTATTTTGTACCATTTATGGTTTTTCATATTGTTCAATAAAGTTCTTGGTAAAAAAGAAAAGAAGCTACTGTGCCTAATATTACTGTATATTATTGTATACAGCGCGCAAGGTTTATGCGCAAGTCTTCTTCTCTGTTTTTAGTGTAGGCTATCCGTGTCAGAATTACAGAGCCTCGTACTGGTCTGGCATGTATACTACATCGGTTTGAGTCGGTTTCAGTGGTTTCGTGTGTACGCAGATATTTCTTGAGACGCCGCTGTGTTTACGGATTTTTTTTTTTCAGAACGAGGGAAAAAAAACATCGGATAGGGAAAGCTCTGGCTTCGTGTGGATGTGGCCTGGGAGCATCACACACACTCGCTGCTAGAAGAAATGTTTCTGATGAACGTGTGAGGTTATAGAGAACTGCTCTGCTGAAAACATATAGCTGTACGTCTCTGTAGTAGGGCTGTAAACGATTAATCGAATCCAAAATAAAAGTTTGTGTTTACATAATATGTGTGTGTATTGTGTATAATTATTTTGTATATATACACACACATGCATGTATATATTTGCATTTATATACTGCATATATATTTTTATATGATTTAGCCTATATTAAATAACAAATTTTTCTTAAATATATACATGCATGTGTGTGTATTTATATATACAAAATAATTATACACAATACACACATATATTATGTAAACACAAAACTTTTATTTTGGATTCAATTAATCGTTTACAGCCCTACTCTGAAGATAACGAGAGCAGTTTGGCTGGTTTACATGATGGTTTGGTTTTGATAAATGCACTTTACGTCCAACCTCAGGTTTATAGAATAATCAATATATGATTCATGACAGCAGTTTTATGAGAGATGTTGCCGTTTCTTCTTTTTTATTAAAAATTGTCATTTACTCACCCATGTTGTTTCAAACCCTGTAGAACACACACACACACACACACACACAAATGCAGTTTTCCATTTTGAGCTTTAAAAAAGTACCATAAAAGTCTTCTGAAGCCGTATAGTTGCTTTGCATGACAGGAAGAATATAATTGTTGTCATAAAGAACAGTGTGAACTACTTGATGTTCCCAGGAAGACACGTTAATAACATGTGGAGGAGTAAAGTGATCATTTTTATTTTGGGTGAACTTTATAGAATATAGTCGTTTACAAGAAGTCAGTGTTACTGGATTGAGAAAAAATTAATGCTTTATTTCTGTCCACTTTTAAAATAAGACATACCATTCCTCAACAATATAAGAGAAGGTGTGTATTTTAATCAAATTAAATATTTATTTGGACTTTTAACAAAGGGTGCTATAATAACTGATTAAAACCAGAACTGTAATCTTTTCTGTCCAAATATAGGACTTTACCTGTACATGAGGAATAAACCTTGTGTGTTAGTATAACTGTAATAACCAGAATGGAGATACTGTGTGCACATGATGATGTGTGTGTCTGAAAATCAAAATGGCTGTGTCCCAATTCAGCCACAATAATAAATGGTCTTCACTTCTTGTAAAGTAAAAAAAAAGAAGAAAAAAAAGTGGCCCCTGAGAAATAAAGCGATGACTTATAGCACATCAATAGTTTATTTTAAATGCACACAATTTCTTCGTGTGTGTTTAGCTGTTGGTTTTGAGCTTTCTTATTGCGTGGATGAGCTCTGGGAAGGCTGTGTTCTGGAAGTGTCCACGATCCGTGTACAAATCTGTCTTCAGTCCCTCAGCTATAGAGAGACTAGATGCCCTATTGGGCGCTGGGCACTGAGAAATACGCCTGCCATCTTAAACCGGTCGTACTCCTAGTTTCATTGCGTTGCAGCAGTTAAAGCAGCACTAGGTAACTTTTCAACCTTCATAATATATTTCCAAGTCTCTTGTGATGGTACGTCGACTTACAATAGAGAATGGCAACCGACGTCACTGCGACGTCATCGCGCAATGTATTGTGGGGAGTATCCGCCATTTTGTGAGGCCACAAAAAGCCGGTAACAAGCCGGTAACCAAGCAACACTATATACAGCTGTGTTGGTTGTATGAATTATACATTTGAGCATGCTTAAAAATACACTCACCGGCCACTTTATTAGGTACCCCATGCTAGTAACGGGTTGGACCCCCTTTTGCCTTCAGAACTGCCTCAATTCTTCGTGGCATAGATTCAACAAGGTGCTGGAAGCATTCCTCAGGGAGTTTGGTCCATATTGACATGATGGCATCACACAGTTGCCGCAGATTTGTCGGCTGCACATCCATGATGCTCTATTAGATTGAGATATGGTGACTGTGGAGGCCATTTGAGTACAGCGAACTCATTGTCATGTTCAAGAAACCAATTTGAAATGATTCCAGCTTTGTGACATGGCGCATTATCCTGCTGAAAGTAGCCATCAGAAGTTGGGTACATTGTGGTCATAAAGGGATGGACATGGTCAGCAACAATACTCAGGTAGGCTGTGGCGTTGCAACGATGCTCAATTGGTACCCAGGGGCCCAAAGAGTGCCAAGAAAATATTCCCCACACCATGACACCACCACCACCAGCCTGAACCGTTGATACAAGGCAGGATGGATCCATGCTTTCATGTTGTAGACGCCAAATTCTGACCCTACCATCCGAATGTCGCAGCAGAAATCGAGACTCATCAGACCAGGCAACGTTTTTCCAATCTTCTATTGTCCAATTTCGATGAGCTTGTGCAAATTGTAGCCTCAGTTTCCTGTTCTTAGCTGAAAGGAGTGGCACCCGGTGGGGTCTTCTGCTCCTGTAGCCCATCTGCCTCAAAGTTCGACGTACTGTGCGTTCAGAGATGCTCTTCTGCCCACCTTGGTTGTAACGGGTGGTTATTTGAGTCACT